TCCCGTTCCCTCTCATTGAATGCCCCTAAATGTCAGGATGTTGTGTTTTCCCTCTTGTCCAATGTACCAAAGAAAGACTTTTATTTACTGGCGAGATCTCTAAAACACATCTCTAAATGTAGTGGCATTGTCAGGGATAAACTGGCCGATTCCATCATTGACAGACACCTAAAAAGCATGTGAAAATTTCGTTGCCCAAATAATCTCAGACACTCACCACCCATTACACAACGAATTTTCAAAAGCTGTATCTACATCATCCACACGCTAAAGATTTAAACTTTTATTTGCACGTACGTGTGCTTATCGCAATTCTGTTCTGCCATATCTAGCACGTCTACTTATAGACAGGGACACAATTTCCAGAGAATTGCGCAATTGCTTGCCTTATTGAGAAACACAATATCTATTGCTTTCATTGTGTTCACTATGTACGATTTTGTAAATCTGAATCCACAAATATGGTGTACTTGCTGAAAATACACCCATCCGGGTGCATAAAGCTACTACTGACTGACTGACTGATCCAACATCATCACCGGTGCCTGTGAAAAACCGAATGGGCTAATCCAAACATTCCCCGTCTAAATACAAAACAAATTTAATAAATTCAATGAAGTTGTTGGGTATGGGAACCATTTGGATATAAGTTTGAATGATTGTTGTTCGGGATGCGAGGTTGATGGTGGATGATTCTTTGAGACGAAAACGTGTCACTGGACTGAGCCACATCGCAGCGATGATGTTGCTTCGACTGGCTACGGAAGGCCTGCAAACAACGCTTCCCGCTCGAAGAACCCCATCCACCGCCACTAAAAGCTTATTCTAGGACAATGTATAAGGGTTTTATAACTTTTTGTTGCTGAATGGTCTGCGGGAATATGTCAATCACTTTCTTTGTCCGTATTTTATTCAACTACTGGGTCATTTTTCTCCCGGATCGAGGGAGGGGGAGGAGTTTAAAACTTACTTTATTCGCGCATCTTCTCGTTGTTCCAACTGTTTCACTCGTGAGAGTACTTGATTTATATGTTCCATCTCTTCCGATGTCAGTGACATCTCTGCAGCTTGTCTGACTGCGTCATCCTCGGTGCTCAGAGGGATGAGGTTTGCTTTAGTGTTGCCATTTTCTCGTTCGCAGTGCATCGTAGTCTCAGGGGTTCCACGAGCTGTACATGTTGCCACTTGTGTTGGCCTATATGTTGTCTCAGCAGGCGNAGTGGTTTGCGGATACAGGGATAGGGCAGTCCATGGTTGTAGGGGTCCCGCGACTTGGGTTGGTGCGTTGGATTCAGTCTGTTGACTGACTTCGTTACCCATGATCTTTGATTGCTTTATTTAACAATCTGATGTAGTTTAAATCCACAAAAATACAGATGAAACTGATGACAGTCTGTTTTGAAGAGAACAAAACAAGTGGTAGATCACAGAGTAACTATCGTCCACTGAGTTGATTATCCTGACTCAAACGTAATTCAGAATTGAAAGATTATTATCTCACAAAGCATATTCACTCGGTCGCGCAAGTTACTTTCCCCTTTTTTCACATCACAGGGTATTCACATATGTGCATGCATTTTGAACAGCTGTGAAAGCGCGTTGCTTGTTATTGTTGATTGATTTACATATTTGTCCAATTCATGGTGCGTTCGTATCAGATTCACGCAGTCCCGTGCAACAACGTTTCGCATGAGCAGTTCACTCAACCAGCTGGCAGCCATTTTCACATTTTCAGTCCGTCATTCGTTCGGGGACGGTCGTGGCCAAACACGACAGACCCTGTGGGCGACCAATCAAATCGCGTTGACCTTGAGCGCGTGAGTTGAGACTGGCCAATACCATTTGGATTTTCTCCTATCGATCCTATCCAGGCAGCTCTACTCAAGCGTTTGTATAAGGGCGCATAGGTGGCGGATTGGTAGGTGCGTGGTGGTTTGTTGATGCATAGCTTGTATGAGACAAGTCTGATATAGAACATTAAGGTGTAATTCATTGGGATCCAGTATCGTTGTATGCCTCTATAGTCCATAATTCGATTCAAACTCCTTTGAATGAATACAATACAGCCAATAAACTAGCACCATGTTTCTTAAGATTGAGAGTATTATAGTCCTTTTTGTCTATTTGAACCAAATAGATCAGTTTAGCCCAACATTATTCGGTCTAATACCTCTTGGTTTATATTCATTATCTAATAAATACTAAGATTGTCTAGAGTGAACGAACTTTGGAGTATCTCCAAACTTGATTTTATTTTCGATCAGCTTCGACAGAACGAACAACATGTATGTAGTCACCGTGACTTCGAATTCACATGACAGAGTAGTAGAGGATTTGATTCAATTTCGAAGGGGAAATTCGTCGTGTATATGGCAAACGAAGCGTGAAATGGAAAGCTAGGAAGCACTGGACAGCTTTTTCAACCTGGTTGAGTCTCATCAGCAGTGCCGGAGAATCGATCAACCCAAATGGAGATCTCACACGCTGAACTCAAGCATGCTACCCACTCGGCCACCGGGCAGATGATCAGACCGCTTTTCATTTTCCATTTAAATGATACAGAACAGCCCATCTTGACTAGCTCGTTGCGGGCATCGTGCCTCGCTCAGCTCAGCACTACCGATGAGACCCAACAATGTTTAATAGCTGTACAGTGCTTTCTAGCCTCTCGGTTCATGCTTCATTTGCCCAATGCACAATAAATTTTCTCTTTGAAATTCAGCGATATCAGCCAGTTCTCCTGCAAGGAAACTGAAACTGGAGGCAGGTCTAACTTGAATGGTTCTCTATATCAAACAGTGCTGTGACATTTATGATTAAAACTATCGTGAAGGTCACATCTATGTATGTTCGTTGAATATTACCATCGTGACATTAAAAAAGCACTGTAACGTATACAGTTTGTTTTCGATAACTTCGTCTTTGGGCTGGGACAGACTAAAACAGCCGAGTGAATGACGCATGACCTTTGGAAGGACCCAGGGGCCCACACCAGAAATGGAACAGCTCATTCAATCCATC